TCTTTTGTCAGGGTTCAGCTCCAAGGACCTACGAGCAAACACAACAATCTCAGTGTAGTGTCTTTTTGCAAGATAGATAGCAGAGGACTATACATGCGAGACATCTTAGTATCATCATAGATAGTTACTACAAACTTTGCACGCTAGACTACTAATACGATTGCTACTCTGTTGTAGTTGCTAGAAGTTGAATCTACTGAATGGCACTTACGCAAGTCTCGTGATCGGCCTTTCGTCTTTTCTCCGTATCCTCTTTCCTACCGCCATCCTCGGTAGGGTCTCGCTTGCGTTTCTCGCTCTTTTCCTCGTCTACGTCATCGCTCTTATGCCAGAAGCGATGTGGCAAGGTCTCTTTGTCTGCGATCTCGGCGTCTGTGATCTCCCTCTCTTCTCTCTGCTTCTCGCTCAAACCCGCAGGTAGACACTCGAGGTCCAACGGTCCGGTGTCAAGCCTGAAAAAGACCCGCTGAACAAACTTGGCTCTTGTACGCCGACGCGAAAGATTGTGTCGTAGAGCAGACGATGAGCTAGTACTGCTGAATGGAAAGTAGCTCCCGAAGATGCTGTTGTCTTGCTTGTCCTCCACCTCAAGCATCTGCCACCGTTCGTCGGCTAGTAACTTAACGAGCTCACCTTTACCCCAGTCTTCGTAGATGTCGTTGGGTACATTAACGGTCAACTTTTTCAGATTCTTGAACTGGGAAGCGTAGCGAGCCCAGAAACGCCTCCAGCCAATCATCTCGCGTTTCATGAGGGCTATCTCGGCGGGTGTAGGGCGCTTCGCTGTACGCAGCCAGCCAGAGACACCAGGAACGTCCGCAGGGTATTGAATACTGAGCTCATCAACCATGGCGGCGATGGGCGTAAGACTGAAGACGGCTTGAGTCGGAAGCAACAGTTCACGCTTGTCCGCGTTTTCCCCAACAAAGGTTTTGTAGTCGCCGAAATATAAGTTGCCGTCAATACCGGACGCAGGAGACATGTTTGTGCGTTCGCCAATGGAAATACGAGTAGGGATACCGAAGCTTCGTAAGGTGGATACCATAGTCTGTATACGAGACAGAATATCTTGTTTCGGAAGCAGTGTCCGGTTGGGCTCGAGATTGGCTGGAAAGACATCGGACATGAGGGTCTCCCAAGTGAATACGGGCTTCCAGTTACACTTCTCAGCTATCCACCGCAGCGCTTCCTGGACCTCTGGCTTGGAGCTAGGGTCACTCATCGCTTGGTCGTTGTTCTGCTGCGTAGTCTGGCCAAAGTGATGTCGGCGCTGCGTTACATTGATGAGATGAAATGGGTGAAGGACGATGTTTTGAAGACCGTGTATGGGCTTGATGTTGATGTTTGGATACTTCTTGGAGATGGTTTGGAGGCTCTGCAGCAGGTCCTCGAATGAAGCTCCTACGCCCTGCACAACATGATTGCCCAGCTCCATGTGATCGCGTCCGCAGTCTTCGAAGGTCTTGTCATCGAATGCCTCTTCCTCATCACGATGGTGATGCCCTTGAGTTATTCGATACGGTATGGGACCAATTACATCGCGATCGCGACGGTCCTCCATCCATGAGTATAAGCCGATTTCGACGTCTTTTATTCGCGACCAGGCTGTGGCATCGGTAGAGAAAAGGGATCGGTAGGGGGCGTAATCGTGTATCCTCAGCTTCGTCATGCTGTCTGGGCAATGCTTCTGCACACCATCCACAAGACAGCAGACGCGCTGGTGGACTTCCCATTCGTTCCATGTGCTAGGCTGGATGTCAGTACTATGAGCGTTGGTGAGGACTCATGGTGGACAAAACTTACTGGAAGCCTGAGTAGCGCTCTCGTATCGCGAGCGTCTTCAGCTTGCTGCAGATTGGAAAGATGATGCTGGCGACAGAACCGCTCTTGTGCCTTCTGGACATGCGGAAGCCCTGCTTGAAGCGATAGTCGTTGTATGAGTAGCTGTACTCAATCCGAGAGTGCGCAGTGTAGTCAGCCCAATTGGCAACCTCGAGCTCTTCGAGGCGGCCGAACAGCTTGGGGCAAGCAGCAGCCAGCATGCTCCACGTCCATGTCTCTTCCGGAGTCCATACGAAGTCTTTAATGGCCGAGATGTCTAAGCTCGTCAGGCATGGTAGGTTTTCTTCTATCCACTTGAAGTCGTCTATACTCGCCCAATGTGACATTGCCAACTTGTGTACGTGTCGGCGGTTCTCATCCGTGATGCTCTCCTGGAAGCTTATCCACCGTATATTACCCAGGCCTCTGTACTTCCAGTCACCTAGTCTGATGTCGCGCACATCGTTGAGTTGTATGGGGTATTTGTAGAGGAGCTGATTGACGGTGACGCTGCTTGCCATGCCTTTGCAAAGCCTCTTCAGGCTCCAGGCAGCGTCGCGGTCGAGATAGTCCATGACACACTTGAATATGTCGTCGGGAAGTTTGAGTAGCATGCTGCTCTGGCTCGCGGCAGCTTTGGACTTGGGCTGGTTGAGTGCATCGGAAGCGACAGGGCTACAGTCACGACTTGAAGTAAAGTCGGGCATATCGGGCGAGAGATAGTCAAGGTCGTGCAGGCTGAAGAGATTCATCAAGTAGCGATCGTAGCTCATGGGTGAGAGACAGTGGAGTGGGAAGAGAAGAGGGGACAGAGGAGCGAGGGCAGGCTGGGGCGCAGCAGTTGTACCCAAGGAGTGAGTTGCGCGCTGAGGCAACTGACTGTTCACGTGAGTGAGCGAGTGACTGGGTGAGTGATGTGGTGAGGCGCATGGAGGTGCAGAGCCATGTGGGAGTGTTGCGAATGTGAGAGCACAGTCGTGGAAGGCGCGATGGTGAGGCTGGCAGGCGGCGCGCGTAGCGGCGATGCGGAGAGGGTGCGGAAGTGCGGCGCCGCCAAGACACGCGTCGCTTTTCGCGCGCCGACGACTTTCTGCCTGCGCGAACCAACTGTCGCAACACCATCACCCGCCGCACACTCACCCTCGCGCCGACCCCACGCGCATTTCCACCATGGCCGACGCCCAGGTTTTCGAAGAGACATTCACCGTCACCTCCATCAACAATGAGAAATACGACCGCGTCTCCCGCATCTTTGGCACCTCGACCGACAGCCAAATCACCATGTCGCTCGATATCAACCACGAACTGTTCCCGGTAGAAGCTGGCCAGACCTTGAGCCTGGTTCTGGCAACGACATTGGCGCTGGACGGCAGTGCCAAGGGCGACAACGACTCTATGTGGAGGAGCGTCGGCAAGCAGGGTGTTACAACACTGGCCGACATGTACGACTACGTGTGCTATGGGAAGAACTACCGCATGGAGGGTGGTGACGGCGACATCATGTGAGTGAAGCTCGCGCGTCAGCTTTGACTGTACTGGGTGCTGACATCACGCAGAAAGTACTTCGCCAGCTTCGGCGGGCTGCTTCTGTACATGGAGGGCCCTCACAGGAAGCTCAGCGGGCTCAAGATCGACGACATTTACATGCTCATCAAGCACTCATAGTACTACTGTCTTCGCCTCCACCACGATCCAAGGGAAGCAAGCATAGAATAGGCGTTTGGTAGCATTGTGTTGGTATTGGTATCATCTGGTCTAAAAGTTTCGGCACGGCGTCTGGATACCCCCAAAGGACTCGATAGATTCACCCGCCTCTCTTGCGCGAGAATATTACGTTTTCCTTCTCCTTCTCATAGTGTAGGAAATTCAAGCTTCCTGTGCAGTCGACTCACAATCTCAATGTAGTCGCGCTCGTTCTCCGTTGTCAGGATACCGTGGCGGACCAGGAAGTCGAGCACGACCAACGCACAGTTCGGTTTGAATTCGCCCTTTCTCATCCCTTCTTGAACTTCCTCCACACTCCACAAGTAAAACTCTTCGACCTCGTCATCGCCTGGTTTCGGGATTGTGTCTTCGGGAAGCTCGAGATCGTAGACATATTGAACTTCGGGCTGCATCAGGTTCGTCTCTCCTCCTGCTCTTTCGTCTCGGATATACCAGTACGTGACTGTGCCGCACGCCTTCGCATTTGCCCGAACAAAATCCTCGTCGAGCGAAGCTTCCTCTCCACACTCCCTCACAAGACTCTCGAACGGCGACTCACCTGATGCGATGCCGCCTGCAACCGCGTTATCAAGCATCCCTCCATACGTCTGCTTTGTCCGCGCCCGTCTCGGCGTCCAGATCTTTAGTTCCCCGTCTTTCCTCGTGAATGCCGTAAGATGCACACCGTAGGTAACCACGCCGAACAGGCAACTAGCACTCCTTTCCACGTTGAATAACAGCTCCTTCCCAAGGCCATACACAGCGTACAGTTCATTCCGCCACTTGTCCAACACTTTGAAGTGACCTGTCTGCCGCATAGCCAATAGCGTCGTTTCTACCGCTTTCGACCGCTCGTCAGCGTTGGATCCGGCTGTAAGATGGAGGATGCGAGCATCGTCGTCGATTTCCCAGCCAGGCACCCCGCGGAAAACCTCGACAACGGAGGGGAGCATATAACCCAGCGCATAGTTGTAGCCCGAGACGCGCAGTTGGTAATACGTATTGATGGACGCGATGTATGTTTCCGAGTTGACGTCGGGATACGGGAAGCCGTCGCATTGGTTTATGAGATCGAGGTTCGTGAAAGACATTGTGGATGAATGAGGGGTGAATGTTGTGTAAGCCAGTGCAAGTGCTGCGCCAGCTGGGTGTTTGCGAGCTGCGTCATCCGCTTACCCACACAAGCTTGGGTGGGGGCGGGGTCTTGAAACAGCAACGACCATGCTGAGCTTCGTCCGTGCCTCTAAACGTTCTTTCCAAGAACAGACGAGGTGGATTTCACAGACGATCCGGTAAATATGGCAGTTGCGATACAATACACTTGTCAGCTGTCGAGGTTTCCAAGCGTCTCGTGCTGGTATAGTGTTGCCTGAAGCTAGCAAGTGCACGAATCCATCATCATGTTGCATCGACTTTCTCCAATGTTCTCCAAACCACAACCTCGCTGTCAACGGTTATCTTAACTTTTACCAAGAATGGACACCTCGACTACCAGGATCGTTCTTGTTGTACCCAAACAGGATGTCAAGAATGTAAAGTCTGCCCTCGAGCGGGCCGGACAGTTAGATCGGAGCAGCAAGATCATCCCTGAGTTGGATGACAAGAGAACACCAGAAGCTGTCGCAAATTCGGCTGGTCCGAGACAAGGTGCTGATCCATCGAGGTCATCTATACCAGAAGCAGACACTGCGGCATCACCAGCAGGAGCCTCGCAGGCACCCTCGAACCTTGCACAGCAGTCACGCTTTCCGAGGCTCCACTTCGACGCGACCAGCGGCGAATATGTCGACCAGTCATTGTTGGAAGATAGAGCTCAGCGCGAAAACCGAAGCATTGAGAACGAGACTTCGAGCCTGGCGGCCGAGGTGCCTAGTGATCGCGACAGTCGTATTAGGTTTCCCATCCTGCAGTTCGATGTGGCTAGAGGAGAATATGTCGAGCCTTCTGCCGCGAATGCGGAAGCCAATAATGCTATAGAGCATGACCAAATGCGCATGCGTATCCCCACGACCATCCCTTTCCCTGCGCAAATGAACGACCCGAACGACATCCTCGATACGGAGGCTTTGAAGTCCAAGATAACAGAAGATCTCGCACTGGGCGAACTTTCCAAAGACGTATCCATCTCACATCACGTCCCGAGCACTGCAGCATCCCCGCATAATGCTCACCAGAGCCCGGTTCATAAGGCTTTAGGAACCGCCCTCACCTTACTTCTGGATCTTGCATCTGTATCGCACACCCTCACGGTCGAAGCACTTGTCACAGCTTTCCCGGATGGATATTCAGTATACAAGCCCATGCTTCTCCTTCCGCACAACTCATTATCCTCCGAGCCATGGCGGACTCTTATCACCACTTATCCATTGGACTCAGAGGAAATGAAAGCAGTATGGCAGGATATGGCGATATCAGTGGGCGCAACGCACGTCGCCATCAACGCGCCTATACCGATATCCACATCTTCAACATCAGCATCACCATCCACCACGACAGGCGAAGAGAACATACTGCGTAGCCCAACCAATCTCACACCTCTATACGGCAACTTCGGCCCTGCACCGACACCGCAAACCATCACCTCACCATCAGCAACAGACTTTGCCGACGCCCTCTGGGTGACTGCGCGCCAAAACGGTATCTGGCAAACCTGGGCGCCGCTCTATACGATGTTCAGTCGTGGCAATGTCAACGAGAAAGCAAGGATAATGAATCTCCCTTCGGTCAATGATCTGGATGTTGCGTCAACAGCCGTCGATCTTTACGCTGGGATCGGCTACTTCGCGTTTTCTTACAAGAAGAGTGGAGATAGACGGAATACAGGTATCAAGCAAGTTGTATGTTGGGAGATAAATCCATGGAGTGTTGAAGGACTACGCAGAGGTGCTGAGATGAATGGGTGGACGTGCAGAGTCCTCAAGGATACAGACATAGCGCGACTGCGTGAAAGTCTCTCAGTGGACGATTCCTACTTCCAGCAAGCGGATCTTCTCGTCTTTCAGACAAGCAACGAGAGTGCTGAAGCGGACTATGCGTTACTTCCATCGCCTAAGCCACCTGTTCGACACGTCAATCTAGGCTTGCTGCCTTCCTCCAAGCTGTCATGGGGTAATGCGGTTGCAATGCTTGACAAGCAGCTTGGGGGATGGATTCATGTGCATGAGAACGTGGGCGTCGTCGATGTCGAAACAAGGCGAAAGGTTGTAGAAGAGGAATTCCAGAGTCTGGCGGACAAGAGGGACGCCGCAACGAGAAGGAAGGTTCTGGTGGAACATGTGGAGAAAGTGAAGATGTACGCACCTGGAGTTGTGCACTGTGTTTTTGATGTTGTTATTGGAGGCGATATTTGAGAGCCGTGGAGAGCCGCTTCTTGTCAGCACCACGAGAGGACGGCTGATGTTTGGAGGTGGTCATCAACTAAAGATCTGAATAGACACCACATGGCTTTACATCACACCAACTGTTACTTTCACATGCCATGGCATTCATGCTTGTTAAATGCACCAATTGTAAAAATAGTAGTAGATCTGATCAGTCTATTGATGGTATCATGGTTTCCACGCCTTGTGTCTGCTAGATATGATGATATCCCCTCAGCAGCACATCGGATCAAAGCAAAACTCCACCCTGGATGCCGAAAGCAAAGGTCGCAACCTCGCTGTGAGAGTATTCCAACGCCCGCTAAAACGCAGCAAAGACCAAAAGGCAAAGTTCCAAAGGATATAATACATAGATGGCAAAATCTGAAGTCGCCATGGTAGGAGAGTCGGCACCCTGTTGCCGCGTTCATTCGACCTCTGTCAGCCACCTTCGAATTCCCTCTTTCAGGGAAGAGTCGTTTTCGGTTCTTGGGTGAGAGGTCTTGGTTGTCTTTGTCGTTTTTGTATGACCACCTTCCTTAGGAGGCTGTCGACCTCCGCGCTCAGTGGCTACGTCTTTGACGACAACTTCCAACGCTTCGAACAGCACGCTTTTACAGTCAACATGCGGTACTTCGACGTGTGGAACCGCATCTGACTCCGCTCGTGTATCGCGCCGACCCCTTCTGCTGCTTGATCGTGATGACTGGGCAGAGTTGACACGAGTCACTTCACCAGACTGTGCCAGTACACGGTCCACACCATCGATGAGGGTAGAATCGAAGTCCATGATGATTTCCTCATCGAACTTTTCAGCGAGGTGAACTTCAGTCATCATTGGAACAGCGCTACCTGAAGTATACGGATTGCCGTAACGCGAGTGGCCGGGTGCCAAACCAGTAACGCCTGGCGTCATGGCCGATGACTGGTAGGTAGGTGTGGGTATCAGCTTGACAAGGCGTCGTAAGCTGATGCGCTTGATCGAAAAGGAACTCGTGTCAGCGATAAGAGCAGAACATATGTCCATCCAGCGTTCAAGTGGACCAGACTCCAGACTAGGTGTGGTCACGGTACTCAAAGGTGTTGGCTCCGCGCTCATTGCCCGCTTGATGTCTCGTTCAAGGTAGCGATATGGTTTGATAGCCTGAACAGCGAAGTCAGGATGAAATTGACTCAGCCACCCAGCAACGTTGACAGGCTGCTCTGGCTCTCCGTGAGGCGTTGATAGAACAGAAGACTCGCCAAAGCTGGAGCCCGGTTGACTTGAAGCTGACCCAAATCCTCCCAACAGTGGGGACTGCAGAGGGGAGTCGAAGTCGGGGAGCGGCAGGTCAACGTCGATAACGCCATCCTTTTCATTGACTGACAATTTCAAATGACTTTCAAAAGTCTTCTGACGCTCGGGTATGGGCCGCGCTGCAGATGCAGGGACACCGGAAGTGCCACCATTAGAGTAAACACTGAGAGAGTCTTTTTCGCCGGAGTCAGGTGGGAACGGAGAATCGACGGCATCGCTCTCGAAGACACGGTCCATAGAAAGTTCCTGTACCATGTGCTCGAGCTGCGATCGAGGGCGCTCTTGCCCACGAAAGCCCACGCCATCATCTGTCGTTTGAAAGTACTCACTTTGGTCCGTCGAGGACGAGCGACGGCCGCTCCAAAAGTTCATGAAGCCACTCCAGCGACTAGTGTTGCTGGAATCGTTGCTGGCAAGGCTTGTCTGACCTGTACCGCTCCGTTGTAGGGTGCTGATCAAGTTGGTGGACGCCAGACTATCACTGCTTTCTGGTCTCATGTCAGGCATGGTGCCGGACGACTTTGTTCTAGGGAAGGTGAAGTGAGCGACAGGCATCGCATCTTGTGGGGTGGCTGTCGAGGTGGTTACAGTACTGCCTGTTGTGACTGGGCCTTCTGACATCGAGGGGACGACTAGAGTGGTCCGAACTGAATGTGCAGAGGAACGTCGCGAGTGGCCGAGCGGTCGTACAGGCTCCGACGTCTCAACGAGGGCCGATTCGGAACGTTCGTCTAGAGCCTGCGTAGACGGCTGATGCACACTCTGGGGTTTCGGGGGCTGCAGAAGAATATTGGACATGCTCTGCTTACCCCTCGGTCCTCGCTTGATTTGTCTTCTTAGCGATGGCTGTCTTGAGGGCGGCATGTTGGTCGGGGGCGACTGTGAGTAAGCACGCAGCGACGCCGAGGTGCCAGGGCGCGCGTACGTGCTGTCGCCCATGGCAGACGCATTAGGTGGTAGAAAAGCCGCCAATAGAAAGATGAGTCTCCGAGCAGCCATCTTGTCCGGGGAAACAATGACAGTGCGACTCGGAATGGTGAGGTTCTCTCCAGCAGTTGCTTTCTGTAGTTCGCGATGACGCTTGCGGTACCACCTGGGGCCCAGGATGTTGAGCCATTCAGTGTGGTTACCGAGGAAAGCAGTCAGCAAGTTGAAGAAGAAGAAGTTCTGTTCTCGTCGACCTGCCCAGCGACCAAGCCATCTGGCCTCCTCGCGCCACACGCCCCACTTGCCTTGACCTGTCATTACGCGGGGAATTCTCATGCCGCTTACGACGCGATTGCCGGTCAGCTCCGCTGCGTCTCGTATCTCTTTGTCCATCACGAGGGCGTTCGGCTGCAATCGTAGGGCTCGTCGACTGGCCTGCAGAGAGGAGTCTCGAAGACTCGTCCGTGAAGGCTGGTTTCTCTGGTGGTGGGCTACAGGTGTGGCCATGCCATCTGGTGATTTCGGCGCCTTGAACTGAGCCAATATGCGCTCCTGAACTACGTGTTGGAGGCTGCTTAGAGCGCGCATGATGACATCCCAGTGCTGGCCTACGACATCAACGCGGTCATCGACGTCACTACACAACGACGAGGATAGGAGTGATTCGACGCCCAGGTTAGAGTCGATGAAGGCCCATCCTGCGCGGCGATCCGAGTCCAGTGACGAACCAAGAGAATCCTGTCCAGGGGCAGAGGTAGAGAGATGCGCAGGAGTCCTGGTGTTGGCACTACGGGACGAAGGTCTCAGGCTCGGCGACGTGTTCGATATGGGCAGGTGGAGGATAATGGTGATGGCGTACATGGGGCTCTTTCGCACGTGTGAAGCGTATGGCGGCTTAGGGGCACCTGGCTTGACGTTCGTGGACGGAAAAGGGAACCCATTGCCTTTCGGCAGTGAGCTCTGCGGTGTCGGCGTGCGGTCGTCGTGATCCTCGTCCGGCATGGTGACGGAGAACAAGCGTGTAATGAAGATGGTCCGTCGCTTGGGCTCTTTCGGTATGCTCTCGGACGAGTCGGCGCGGGGCATGTCGGTCGGGAGGTTGGCAGGAGTGAAGGATTTGGCGAGATGGCTTCTGCGGCGGAGGCCCTCAGCGCGACCCAGAGAGCTTGTCGCATCCTGGACGCTGGTGCTCAGGATGGAGGCATCGGCGGGCTTGGTGTCGAGGGGCACAATGTGGATCTTGTTGGAGTTGCCGCGGTAGTTCATGGCGAGGTTGCCGAACATGCAGTCGAGGCAGATGTTGGCCAGGTCGGTCGACTCCTTGGCCCGCGCCTGGGCTTTGGCCTGGACCTGGGCGTGCTCGTCGATGTTGGGCATGGAGGAGATGGAGCTGCCGCGGGTGCGTATGCGCGTGAAGCCGGCGACCGTGGGCGAGCGCGGCGGCGTGGGCTCCGCGACGAGGGAGGAGCGACGGGCATGCTGTCCTCCAAACGTCGGCCCTGCTGTGCCCGCAGCGCGCGCGCGTATGGTGGGTGAGGTGGGCGGATCGGGGCGCGGCGCGGCGGGCTTGGAGTCGAACAGGATGGCCTTGGGCATTTGGGGCGTCTCATCCTGGGCGATGATGATGCGGCAGTCGCGCGGGTAGTCGAGGTCGATCTCCGGTAGAGGCCCGTCGTGGGCGCTGCCGGGCGTCAGGGGCGCGGCGTGTAGAGGGTAGGGCTGGCCCTCGGGGTGGTAGAGGGTGCTGGTCTCCGGGTACAGCAGATGGCGCGTGTGGCTCTCCTCGGTCGCCGAGTCGAGCACTGTCGGCGGCGGCGCGTGGGCGGCGCTGGAGCCTTTGCGGCTGCTGAAGAGGTGTCCGATCATGTCGAGAGGGCGCATTCCGCCATGGAAGCGCGCCCAAGTCTCAGCAGTGGGCGGGCTCGGTACAGTGGGCGTGGCGGGCTCGAGCAGTGCGGCGTGCTGGTTGACCCATGGCAGTCTTCTAGTAATTCCACTGCACTGCTACAGGTGATGCGGGGCAATGAGGGCTGCGACAACAAAGAGAAGCGTGTCGCGTGGGCCGTGTTAGTGAGGGGAGCGCGCGTAGCCTAGTGCAGAGCTGCCGTTGCTTAGTTATAGAAGGGCGGTGAGCGGCTTCTGCTACTATCGTGAAAGGATCGACTCACGACGCACATCAACGCTGCACGTCACCCCTCCACCACGGGCCCACCCAACATTCCTCGACATCACACGTCCCCCAAGTGGGACGGCCAGCCCTCACTTCGCCGCCGTGATAGGTTTCAGTCGAGAGAAAGCGCTCCATCGCCCTCCGTCATCACAGTGCTACACGCCCGCCGACGGCCATCAGCGCCTGTGGCTGCGGATCTCCCGGGGTACCCCAGATCACGGCATGCACGTCTTTCTAAACCGTCCTGGTGCAATCCGCCGCCTCGCTTTGACAGGCTGACGCACGCCAACCCGCACTTTCGATATCAACAACTTGCTCCGCGTCGGACCACCTCCGCGGGTGATTGTCGTCGGGGCGGAAGGGACTTGCCTTGCTTTCTCATTGGAACATGAGATTGCCCAGCAAACGGTAATCTCTGTCAACACTGCCTTACTGGACAATCAACGGGCTCTTATCGAGATCGTGTAACCGTGCCCGCGTATGTGCATTTGCATTGGGGGATCTTGATGTTGATAACACATTCAGACATCTCAAGATGGCCACTCACCTGCCCATATACCGATCATGCTCATGCAGTGCAATTGCTATTTCTATGCATCTATGCTTGACCACATGCTTCCATATCCAAAGTATTCTTCCGGTTTCCATCGCCGTGGTATGATGTCCAACTTCCGCGATACGCGTCGTTTGTCCAGCTGGGAATGGATCGACACATGTTGGTGTCTTCGGAACAACGTGACGCGACGTTCCGAGCCTCCTTCTACTGCTGGATTACCCGCCGGTATCGGGTGACGATCTTTGGATCTATCCGTGTAGATATAAGTGCATAGTGAGGCGATCTAGGAGATCCTGATGCTCTTGAATCCAACGAAGTAATACCGGGCGTTTAGGGCGCAACCAGAGGCCCCGAGCCGAATGTCGACATGTCTCAGATGATCCACACCGCCTGTCGTACTGGGTAGCATCGCCTCGACTCGGATAGCCATCACGAGGTTGTCAAACTACACTCTATCAGTTCAAGCCAGTCAATTACAACTACAGCTTCAACCCACGCCGTTTGACCACATTACTAGCTGAGTTGTGTAGGTAGGGACGGAAACCACCGCTCCAGCTCACACCGCCTAGCCGCCGGCATGACTTCGTCTTTGTCTCTATGAAATGCTTGACTTCGGACCATGAGGACAAAAGACCAATGTGACTGGGTGATGATACAAAATCCCGCAAAGGCCATCGCTGCAACTATCTATATCAGGCCTACCTCGTACGAGAGAACGCTAACCAGGTCTAGAGACTACATTAACATGGGAATATGCCAAGTAGGCAACCTAATGTTGAGGTAGGCTCTATAAGAAATTCAGGTTTTGTTTTAGGTTGACGTGGACACGTATCATTGTCGCGCCAATATCACTGATACAAACAGCCATGTTGCGGTCACATCAAAATACAGGTAAAGTACATAAACCGAACAGCACGGGACTATTCTTCACGCGCTCAGTGGTAGGTAGCCTCTCAAGCTCTGCGTTTTCTCCTTCAACGATGCCCTACCCAGCGATAACTCTGTCCGCCCTTTCACAACTAGTAGCCTCGCCAATGTGTCTCTACAACATGCCTCTCCACAAAGTGACTTCTCCAATTGCCAAACCTTCTCACATCACTCTCACAATCTCTCACGAAACATCTGTCGTGTTTTTTCATGTCTGCATGCCACACCACACTGTCGCGCCTCAGACAGACCCTGCATTTCTCACAACCGATTGGAAACTCATGTTGATGACGTTCCAGCTGGTAGCGACTGGGAAACCATTGATTACAGACGGGGCATTGTTCGCGGTCGAGGTTTGGCTGGGCTGAAAAGGAGTATGTACCCGTGGGTGTGTTGACTGAGAACTCTGCCATCGAGAGAGCATGGGTGTCGCTCGAAGTCTCAAGCACTTGGACGACAGACTGTGCTAGGTTGTTCGATTGTGCATTGGTGATGTAGCCGTTTCCATGATTCGAGTAGCGTACTAGAGCCCTGCCAGGGTCGTAGCGCGCGAATAGATTGTCGTCGTCTGGAAAATGAGCATGACGATGACGAGCGCGGGCGCCGATATGACGATGTCCGCTACTGACGGAATCACTGTTGTAGGCGTATGCTCGTGTAGTAGAACGATGTCGCGCGCATCTGGTTCCGGTGCCTCTATGCCAGTCGTCGCATGTGCACAGCGGCATGTTGAATCGACTTGAAATGTGGCAGGCTAGATCAGAAAGAAGGTGGATTCGGGCAGCGAAACTATATCATGATACAGCCTTTGAGATTTACAAACCACCAGGCTGCATACACGAGTGGTCTTGATGGCGTGCAGGTTCACCGGATGAGACGGGCCCAATCGCAGACGGGGCGGCAGGGCAAAGCCAATGGATGAGAACAAAAAAAAATGCATATCGACAGTGAGATAATAGAGAGAGACGGTCTGCTCACCGGTTTGCAAAGAGATAAGATCAGGCAACGTGGCTGCTGATTTTGTAGTCCAGCCTTGCGCGATATCGAGATATGGCTAATGTGTTAGCGGTAAAAAGCTTCAAGGACTATAGACAGCAGCAGCGTAGTTGTATGAGTAACAGAAGCAGAATTCAAAACCTCGGACATTGGGAGCCAGTCTAAGCTATGATTAGACGATGTCGTCTTTTGTTGATGGTGGACTGTGTTGTTTCCCTGAGAGGAGCGATGTTAATTCCTGGGATGTCGTACATGCCCTAGTTCTGCCCGATTGCGATCTTCTCCACAGAGATGACAAACAGAAAGTGTCGTTGAAGCATGAACTTGCGGTGCTCTCCTAGCTAGGTAGCAACATTGTAGAGGAAGGTGTAGGCACGTGCCCAGGCGACGAGGGTGAGTCTGGCGCTAGCGGGGAAGTTCTTGGCGCTCTACGAATTTCAAGAGATGGAGCTCTAGCTACGCGACCAACTTTGGCAACTCCGCGCAAAACACTGAACGATACCCAGGCTCGCAGCGAATCTCTTAAACCGCTTTCTCAACATAATACACACCACAGACTACCGCCAACATGAGGTTAACAACAGACCTCATCAACAATTCCCTGTCCTTCATCAACTGTCTCACGGAGCGCGAGCTCGATCTGCGAGGTGCGTTGAAAAGAGCAGATGCTACACTTGAGAGCTGAGTTGATATCAATATCGTATAATCTAGGTCACAAGATTTCCGCGATTGAGAACATGGGAGCAGCGCGAGTGAGTTGCATCATTGCTCCGAACATAAACCGCCATATTGACAGGGTGACAGGACAACGACGCCATAGATCTCACCGACAACGACATCGCACAGCTCGGCAACTTCCCACTCCAACCCCGTCTCCGAACGCTCTTCCTCGCGCAAAACCGCATCTCCAACATCCAACCCAACCTCTCGTCGAGCATACCAAACCTGCGCACACTGGTCCTTACCAAGAACAGGATCGCAGAGCTGGCCGACTTGGATCCGCTGGCGGGTTTCAAGCAACTGGTATACCTGTCATTGATGGGGAACCCTGTCACAAGCAAAGAGGTATGTGCCTGACCTTGTTGAGCCATGAACCTTTGAGCCTAATGGTGCAAGCAAACTTGAGCCTGGGGATCGGAAACGGTGCAGGGTGAGCCACTCGTTGCGATTTGGCCGGCTCAGGATCGCATGATGGAGGCTATTATGCGCAGCATGCTAACATCACATAGAACTACCGGTATTGGGTCATCTGGCGCTGTCCGACTGTGCGCTTCCTAGACTTCAGCAAGGTGCGGGATATTGAGCGAAAGAAGGCCAAGGAACTGTTCGGAACTGTCGACGAGCCTACAGAACTTGCAAACCAGGTTCGTATAACGACTGTCTTCAAGTTTCATCTGACTAACTCTCCCAGATCTCGAGCAACAAGTCCAAGGGCTTCGTCGTCCCCTCGTACGCGAACGGTGCCGACTCGGGCAAAGAGCGCATCTACACCGACGAAGAGAAGAAGCGCATGCGCGCTGCCATCCTCAACGCAAGCAGCTTGGCCGAGATGGCGAGGCTGGAGAAGGACTTTGCGGAAGGTCGGATACCAGCACATATCCTCGAAGGAGGAGAACCCATGGAGACATAGGCGCTGTACTGTCCTGGAAGCTTGACGAGGATAAACACGCACGCACGATGACGGGTATCACATCTCACGACTGTGCAAGGCCCTGCGCATGCATGAGCAAGAGGAGGCACGCAAGGACGGTAACGCACGGGAGGATTCTGCACGCACTGCATGACATGAGGCTTCGAAGGAACGCGCCAGCGTGCAATGGTTATAGGGAAGGCCTGGTGATACCACAAGAGTGATCAGAGCACGACACCGAAGCGCTTGAGTCGGAAGTAGATTGATCTGTAAGAATTGAAACAGACTGCTTTGCGCCAGAAGGCGTTTCCCACCCATGGTATCGTAGTAATATACTCAGAACGCCGTGATGCCGTGTACCATCGTATCTCGAGCCTACATGATCCTGCCGTCCAGACGAGACATGTCCTGATGGCGGCCTTGTTACCACCCCCTTCCCCTGCCACCGCGTCCTCCTCTGCCACCACCGCCTTGATGACCCTGCTGGAAACCTCCGCCTTGCTGACCTCCAGGTCCGCCGGGGAAGCCACCCATGCCTTGGCCTGCCATCTGCATGAAAGACGCAAAATCCATCTGACTGGGATCCATGCCTTGCTGCATCATCTCTTGCATCATCATCTGCATTTGCTGTTCGTTCATGCCTCCAGGTCCCATAGCACCGCCGCCGCCGCCACCGCCGCCGCCTCCTCCCGGGCCTGTCGGCGGCGCACCACCTGGCCCCCCATTGCCCTGCGGACCACCGCCCATGCCAGGCATTCCAGGCATACCGGGCATCGGTGCGCCGCCCATCATAGCCTGCATTTGTGCCATGTCGTTCTTCTGACCCTGCAGAGTGTTGGCCATACTGACTTGTCTTTGGCGATACAACTCCCACGTGAACTCGTCGAAGCCATAGTTGAAGTAGTCCGACTGGTCTTCACCAGGTCGACGCCAGATCTTTTGCTCTTCCGCTAAATCGGCATCGATGTCTACGCTGAGAATCTCTTTGCCTTGTGGTGGGTAGACGGGGTTCCCGTTGACATCGATGGTCGAGGTGCGCTGCGCGGGGAAGGCGGTGCCCGAGAGGGCTGAGGCGGACAATTGAGGGACAGTGCCGCCACTTGTGGGGACGGTCTTTGGAGGTACTTGTTGCGAGGGCGTGGTCGAAGAGGTGGGTGGTGCTTCGATCTTTATGGCTTTGGATTCTTGGGGTGCTTGCGCGCTGGACCGGCGTGTCAGTAGCTGTAGTGATGACAGGAATCTGAAGCTCGGAGCTCAATAGAAGCTTACGCTGTGGGTTTGGGGGCTACTGGCGCCTTGTCAATGATGATCTCGATGTCCTACAGCTTCGTTAGAACTGGCGCGAGCTCTTCGTGGGTTTCTTGTTCGGCATACCGAGTCGCTGTCTTCTTCATCGCCCGACTCTTCGTCCATTGGCTCATCGCCGCTGGAGTTGTCCTCCTCTTTCTTTGCGTCGTTGGTCTGCTGCGCGGCTGTCTCGTCGCCATAGAGATCGTCGTCGGATTCGTCTGCCATGGTGCCGTGATTTTCGATCCACCAGTCAAAAGGCGCGCCTGTAACAATTGAGTCCTTCCTCCAAGGGATCACTATGTATCCAGCTCTTTCAAGTGCGCGCAGGAGAGACCGGGCGTTCGCGACTCTCTCGCTCTTCTTTGCACGATTTCTGCTGTTGGCGGTGACTTGACGTGTGGGATCCGTGAGCTACACGAGTTTTGTACGTAGGCCTTTGGTAATGAACTTCAGCTTCTTTGAGTTGCTGGATAAGGGAATGATTAGCCGAGTAGACTGCACGCGTTCTGGCCTGTGCTGTTCCTGGCGCGCCGCCAAACAAACGCAGGCGTTGTCCTTGACCTACCGACCCATCTTGTGCACTTCCACATACGCGCATCTCCACGCGCCATCCTTTTCGACGCTGGCCAGAATTGCCTCAAGCTTCTTGGCGGAGAAACCTCGAGTATTGTATCGACTTAGCTCCTGCGCATTCATCGCGAACGACTGTATGCACACGGCGCATTAGACCAAGGACAACGAAGAAGACTAGAACAAAATGGCGGGCTTTGGGCGATCAAACTCGCTGAGTATCAATACTGGCGGTGGTGGTGGTCTCTTGTACGTCTTCCCGCATCTTGTGTCAAGCGCTCTGCCGGGTATCTACCCTTGCTACTACCATTTCGAGTGCACGCGATGCAGTCTATATGGCAATTACGACTGGTTGAAGCAGTAGACTGACGATACCAGTGGCAATAATGCAAACCAAGGCCAGCAGGCCAGCCAGCCACAGAGCAGCGGCGGGCTCTTTGGGTCTGCCCAGCAACCCCAACAAGCACAGTCGGGCTCGCTCTTCGGCGGTCAGGCTCAGGCTCAGACTTCGCAGCCCGCAAGCGGAGGCCTGTTTGGCAACCTGAACAAGCCTGCGACAACGGCGCCTGCGAGCGGAGGCCTCTTCGGCTCTTCCACCGCGCAATCAACACAACCACAGAGCGGAGGCCTCTTCGGCGGCGCATTAGGCGGAACCTCACAGAGCCAGCCCCAAAGCACACCCCAATCCGGTGGCCTCTTCGGCGGCGCTCAGTCGAAGCCATCACTGTTGTAAGTGACCATGGCTGCTCGCGGTGACACAAGCTAACTGAAAGTCCTAGCGCCTCGTCCACACAGCAGACAACAACACCCTCCTTGTTCGGGAACAACACCTCCACCCAGCAAAATCAAACATCCGCCCCTTCGCTCTTCGGTTCGACTCAACAGCAAGCCCAGCCCCAGCAGCAGAATACTTTGTTCGGTGGCAGTATGAACACACAGAACAGATCGAATACGCTCGGTGGCTCTACTTTAGGAGGGAACCAGATGGCATCAAGCGCGCAGCCCGTTCAGATGACCCTCGACTCGATACGAGGAACCACGCGTTTCAACGACCTGCACCCCGAACTGCAAAACATTATCCAGCAGTTCGATGAGGGCATCCAGCGCAAGGTCAACTTCTGCAGCCAGATTCGCGAGGCCCTCCCTGGCAGCGAGAAAGAGATCGACACCATTGCGCCTGACGTGGCCTACATCGAGACCTTCCTTTCCACCGTAGAAGTCGGCCTGGATAACGATTCCGCCAACATTGCGCACCTCAAAAGCCTCGTCAAGAAGGATGCCGACGACGCGACTCTCAGCTTCCGTGCCATTGAGAACCAGCGACTACCGGCGCAGTTCCACTACCGCAACAACGCCAACCTCACAGCGTCAAGCGCAAAGGCTCCTGCGACCAGTGCTCTGGACGATGACGACCCGACGAAGCCTGTCGACCTCATGGGTTACTTCAACCGCCGCACCGATGAGCTCGGCCGTACTCTAGACGTTTACCAGCGCCAGATTCGCGAGATCGAGACGCACCTACGAACGATGGAGGCCGGCACTGTGGAGAAGGCTCAGCAATTGACCGGCAGTCGAAGCGCACCACGCGATCAGCGTCGTGAGCTGGTGGAAGCGCTCAAGGCCATTGAGGGCGCCATTCTCGACTCGGCGAAGAAGGTTGGACAGGTCAGGGACGAAGTGACGAAGCAGACGTTGGGAAATGTCGGTGCCGCCCTGCTCTAAGGTGCATCGTGAAACAATGATTCGTTCTCGGAGTTTGTAGCATTGAGAATTTGGGAAGGTCACTTCGTTTACAACGGCTCAGGCGCAACGATTTCCTGGACGGCATCTCACACATGTACATATTTGGACGAACTTGCAAAAGCACTAGATACCCCCGAATTCTGGGTCTTCCTCCCTATGTGATTGTTTATTCAATATCCCGAGCCTTGCTGAATGTCTTGGTGATCCTACACTGTGATTGCTCATGTCGTACTAAGGCGGAATTCCATCGCGAGGCGCTTTGTCACGCCAAACGTTAGTCAAGCTTTTCAATGCTGAGTAAAGTCCACCCTTGGAACACGCGCCCCACCAAATCGGAACCAGAGGAAGCTATGACGTCTCCACCATCGTCCAGCTGCTTGCTTTCAATGACAGCTATATAGCTGCAACGCATCTCTGGAAGTTCATATTGCTGTTCTATGTTCTCACGCGCTTTGCGACTCAGGACAAGTACAAAGTGTTCTCCAATCTCAATAAGATATTCACGGTCATTCTCCACTACATCAAGTCGCGCAGCCATGGACAAAGCACCACAACAAGACAGTAAGGATGGGAAGGGATCGATCCTTGACTGGGTAAGAGATCTTGAAGTTATTAGCCAGCTTTGCAGACAGGTCCAGTGGATATTGGGTTTTGCACCAGCATACTGACTGCACAATAAGGTCAAACCCGGTGACAAGAGCGGCGAGTTCAAGCGCCAAACATCCGTCTTCAGAAACTGGATCCAGAACAAGCCTGATGCCGAATTCCCACCTGAGAAAGGTCGCTACCATCTCTATGTCTCCTACGCCTGTCCCTGGGCGCACCGCACACTCATCGTGCGCCACCTAAAGGGCCTCGAAGACATCATCTCCTACAACAGCGTCCACTGGCACATGGCGGAGAAGGGCTGGCGATTCGCTGCTTCTGACGAACATGTTTCTGGTAACACCACACCAGACCCGATCCACGAAGGATACACGCATCTACGCGACATCTACTTTGAGCAGAACCCAGACTACGAAGGCCGCTTCACGGTGCCGACGCTGTACGACAAGAAGGCCAAGAAGATCGTCAGCAATGAGAGTGCGGAAATCATAAGGATGATGTACACCGAATTCGACGATCTCGTCGAGGAGAAATACAGGAAGGTAGATCTATTCCCCAAGGACTTTCAGAAGGACATCGAGGCCATGAACGACTGGGTGTACAACGATGTGAACAACGGTGTTTACAAGTCGGGATTCGCTACGTAGGTTACACTAAATCACTCACATGATGTTGAGTAGGATGTACTAATGAGACCGCAGCACGGAGGAGGCATACACAAAGGCCGTGACGCAGCTTTTCAAGTCTCTTGATCGGTTGGAAGAATCCATGGCTCAGTCTTCCACACCATATCTACTGTCAAGCCCGCACGTGACGGAAGCCGATGTCCGCCTTTTCACCACGATCATCCGCTTCGATCCCGTGTACGTTCAGCACTTCAAGTGCAATATCCGCGATATCAGATCGGGATACCCGCACCTTCACAAGTGGATGCGCCATCTGTACTGGGTATGTTTTCCTTAAGCCTCACAGTCCCTCCTTCGAGGATTATTGTCGGCCACTCTTACTGACAGGAACGGAACAGGACTACCCCGCTTTCAAAGAAACCACAGACTTTGAGCACATCAAGAAGCATTACACAAAGAGCCATGGTCAGATCAACAAGTTCCAGATTACGCCCATTGGGCCTTTGCCGGATATCTTTGAGAAGGACGACGAAGTGCCCAGTGTCAAGGCCGCGAAGAAGTAGTTTACGTAGTTGACATGTAATGATATTCTTCCTCTGAAGATCATGTATCTACTGTTTCAGAGCTAGTACCATGCTCGCCGCAGCCAGAGCGCCCATCAGGCCTACAGCCAGTATGACAGCAGCGAACGGCATGAGCGGCGGGCGCATGCTCTTCGACTTCATATTTTTGATTTCCGTTTCTAGTCGTTCAGCTAGCTTCTCTTTCGAGAATTCAGCGATGACTCTTTCCCTACCCCACTTGCCCATCTCTCTGAGCCGTTCTTCGCCCTCGCCATCTTCGAGCGCAATGCGCATAACTTCGGTCCAGTCCTGCACTTTGGTGACGTCTCGCAGCCAACCCGTCTGCCCGCTGATGACGGTCTCGGTAGGCCCGCCCTCGTTGGCAGCCAGGACCGGTGTGCCTACTAACATTGCTTCTAGTGGTACAATGCCGAAGTGTTCATGCAGTGGGGTGTATACGAGGAGGCGCGAGGTAGACAGCAGCGTGGCCTTGAAGGCATTGGGGACGGAGTGGAGGAAGAGAACCGAGATGTCGTCGGGGATGGCCTGGGCAGTAATGACAGTCTTAGCAGTCGCGTGCTTCAGTTTGAGTGAGTCTGCGAGTTCACATAGCTCGGTGTATGTAGAGACGTTCTCGGCTACCCTGGGATCATAGCCGCCTGCGATTACAAGCCGCGCATTCTCGCGTTCTTTGGCCGACAACCCCGCAAATGCTCTGATGGCAAGCGCTACGTCCTTCTTCTTCTCGAAGCGGTTGATGCTGAGGAGCACCTTCTTGTTCTTCCATAGGGGCGTGATTTCCTCGACCGGCTCGCCTGGGTTGATGTCTACACAGGGATATACAACGCCCGGCTCACGATGTTTCAGGGTGGGGAAAGCCTCGCTAAAGATGCTCTTGGTGAAGTTGCTGTTGACGACAATGGTGTCGCTGCACCCTGTACTCCAGCTCTCCAGCCAGTCAAAGGGTCCACGGTACAACGTCTTTAGTAGGCCACCCTTCTTCGCAAGTAGCTTGTCGGGGAAGTGGCAGTAGAAGATGACGCGCGGGCGTGGTTGGAGAAATCGCAGGAGCGGGATGCCGGCGCTGAGCTGGTCGACGAAGAACGAGGAAGGCGCGAGCTTGGGGAGCTCTTCGGTAAACAGGGCGATCTGGAGTATCAAGTGCACCTGGCGCAGGATGGCGCAGAGGATGGCGAAGCGGCCGAGGAAGGCGGCGGGGACGAGGGAGTTGCCGCGCACGCGCACGTCGAGGGTTCCTTTGGATCGCGTCAGGTCTCAGCTGCGAGGCCAGGCAGAAGCGATGCGTGGTTCCGGGGTGCTGAGTAGAGGCTTACCATCGCGCGCCTCATCGAAGCAGTGGGCCGGGTCGCAGTGCGATGTGAAGATGGTCACCTTGTGCCCGCGGTTCTGCAGGCCAACCGCGGCATCGATGACCAAGCGCTCCGCCCCGCCGATGCCCAGGTCGGGGTGGAAGAAGACGACATGCTCTTTCGTGTCCGCCATGCAGGTCGTGTGTTCGCAGAGAGACGACAATTACGTGTTGCCAGGCGCGGCATGGGGTGGGCTGCGGGACACCTTTCCGCTTCGGAACTAGTGCCGAGGCGAGCGCGACAGGTGAAAGATGACCTGGGATGCTGCACCTGACGCGCCCGACGTACATCTCGACAATACCCAGGTGCGTGTTCGGTTTCGTCTGACACAACATCATCTAGCAGTGAATACAGCTTCAACAGCTGCGGCGTGAGATCTGCATCGCCCCTTCCAACATGTTCGTCGCGGCGCCTTGATATAGCTCCACACCCTGGCACCACAACCACGCTCGCACATCAACCACCATCATGGGTCAGGGCTTCTCCCTCACTACGCTTTCGGCTGGCTCGGCCAACATCGACGTGCCCGAGCTGGCTGATCTGCAATATGAGAAATCACTCGGAGCGGCGCGTTTTATGAAAGCCGTGCGCGCCCGCCACAAGGACGGTCTTGTTGTAGCCCGAGTGGTGATGAAGCCTTACGCTCAGTTCGACTTCCAAGAACACGTCAAACGGCTACTCCGTGAGTTTAACAAAGTCACTATTCTCCACACGTAGGACTGACTGACTGTTCCAAGATGAACGCAAAGTGCTCGCTGATGTGCCCAACGCCGTTGCATACCACCGCGTGATCGAGACGGCAGCTTGCGGTTATCTCGTGCGCCAGTATATTCACAGTTCTTTGTACGATCGTTTGAGGTATAATCTGACACTTCACTACCTACACCAATACACTAACGTCTTACAGCACACGTCCATTCTTGGAAGAGATTGAGAAGAAATGGCTTTCTTTTCAGCTCCTTTGCGCCGTGCGAGACTGCCACGCGCGGAACATCTATCATGGTGACATCAAGACCGAAAACGTTCTTGTCACGTCCTGGAACTGGCTGTATCTTGCAGACTTCTCATCATCATACAAGCCAGCACATTTACCCGAAGACAACCCTGCCGACTTCTCCTTCTACTTCGACCTTTCCGGTCGCCGCACTTGCTACCTTGCACCGGAGAGATTCCTAGCTGCTGGACAGCAACCCGAAGGCGAGGGCGATGTCAACTGGGCCATGGATGTTTTCAGTGTCGGCTGCGTCATCGCTGAACTATTCCTGGAAGCCCCCATCTTCTCTCTCAGTCAACTGTTTAAGTACCGACAAGGCGAATACAATCCCGAGCATTCTCATCTCAGCAAGATCCAGGATAGCAGCATACGCGAGTTGATATTACACATGATACAAGTGGATCCCAATTCTCGGATGACTGCCGAAGACTACCTGACACATTGGAAAGGCAAGGTGTTCCCGACTTACTTTTACGGCTTTCTACAACAGTATATGTACTCCATTACCGACCCATCGTCAGGGCGCAAGCCAGTAACCACCGGATCAGAACACCTTGGCGAGCCTGATGAGCGCATAGACCAGATATATAGCGACTACGACAAGATTTCTCACTTGTTGTCCAACGAGGAAGGAAAGGAACTCATCAAACCCGAATTAACCCCTCCAAGACCGCATGCCAAGCTCTTCCCGCTCTTCGTCAACATACCAAATTATCAGCACCAAGCCTCTCCCGCGCGGAGTCTGGCTATCGATGACGGTAATTTGGTTTTTCTAACCATCGTCGTATCTTGTCTGCGAGGAACAGCTAGATCCTCCGCTCGTGTCCGAGGCCTGGAGTTGCTCCTGGCATTCTCCGAACGCTTAACGGATGAAGCAAAGCTGGACCGTGTGATTCCCTACGTCGCTCAATTGCTAGTCGACAAGTCTGAACAGGTCAAGATTGCTGCGTTGCGCACCTTGACACAGATACTCGCCATGGTTCAGGTTGTATCTCCTATCAACGCCTACATCTTCCCGGAATATGTCTTACCCCGTCTAGAGGCATACCTCCCTGACTCTTCTACCAACGTTGGTCCCCTTGTTCGAATGCAGTATGCGTTTTGTATCGGTACTCTAGCAACCACTGCAGCGAGGTATCTGGATATGATCCAGGCTCTGCGCGCAGAGGGGTCGTTACCCAATGCAGATCCCGAAACCGAAGACGACATGTCTTCATCCGCCCACCGGAACCAGTTCGATTCGGATCGTCGCATCCTTGTGGAAGCCTTTGAGAAACACACGAAAGCCCTTCTTACCGATGGCGATGCCTCTGTCCGTCGAGCCATGCTACGTTCTGTCTCTGACTTGTGTGTTTTCTTTGGAAGCCCACGGGCCAACGACGTCGTTCTTAGTCATCTTAACACGTACCTGAACGACCCAGATTGGATGCTCAAGTGTGCCTTCTTTGAAGGTATCGTCGGCGTTGCCGTTTTTGTTGGCGGTGCTAGCTTGGAAGGTTACATTCTACCGCTCATGGTTCAGGCCCTAACAGATCCGGAAGAGTTTGTGGTGGAAAAGACCATTAGAGCGCTTTCATCCATGGCAGAGCTTGGTCTATTTCAGCGGTCCAAGACATGGGAACTGGTGGATATACTTGCACGCCTCACAATGCATCCTAACTTATGGATTCGAGAGGCAGCCGCACAGTTTATCTCAGCTGCTTCCCGATATCTTTCGGTCGCCGATACGCACAGCATTCTGGTCAATCTCATTCGACCTTACCTTAAAGTCATACCCTCTGAGTTCTCTGAAGTACGGATTTTGGAGTCGTTAAAGCCACCCATGTCACGGTTGCTTTTAGATATGACCTCGAACTGGGCGCTGCAGGCTCAGAAGGGTCAATTTTGGGTTGCAGCCAGGCAGCAGCAGACCTTCACCTTTGGGTCATCAGAGGATAGCTTACCTACAATCTCTGGGCGCGAACTAGACCAAAAGATACTACAGCGGCTACCAAAAAACGAAGAGGACGACCTATGGTTACGAAAACTCCGCAACGCCGGTATGACAGCAGAAGACGATTTCAAGCTTGTTGCTCTACGGGAGTTCATTTGGAGAGTGAGCAATCGCCGACGCTCTGATGGTCTCGCCGCTCCGACCACCAAGTTCAACAGCGTTGTCGTACTGAATGACCTTGGTATTAAGGCTCAGACAGTGCTCTTTGATGAAGACGTCCGTCAGGTCATGGAACAAACTAGGAAACCCAGCGCTCCAGAGGAGCACATTCAACCTCGAACGATCAAGGACGCTCTGCTGGATGCATCAACTACGGAGGCTAATGGGCTAGCCGAGCATTTTGAAAGTCAAGCTGGGCGACTGATACGCGAAGAGAGGGGTATCACGATCCCATTGCGATCGAAAATGTCTTCTTCCAACGAGGTACATTCCAACATTGGCTCACCACCTTCCGAGACAGACATGCGGAGAAGGTCATTGCAGATCACGCGGCCATCTCTTTCTCCATCCAATTCTGTCGGCTCAACAGATTTATCCAGCAGCCTTCGCCATCGTAGTAGTGCTTTGGGACTGCTCGGCAAAGGAGAAAACAAAGCCTTGGCTGAGATTGGTACCACATCTGCCAACGCGTTCGGGAAGGTCG